AGCGATGAGGTCGATTTACCGTAGAGAAACTCGTATGGATTATGCCAATGATGAAACCATCAGTTGTGAACAAAGTTCACAATTATTCGCGTTTGGCTAGTTGCGCATTAAAAATCACTTTTACCTCTTTTTTGGACAATTCTTTATTTTGTTGACCCTTGCGTCACGGCATTCAGTCCACACATCCCAAACTTGTTTGTCTCCGCTTTATCGACTAAGGCGCATCCAATGGTGTACTTTTTATTGTATTCAAATAAGTAAGGGTCTATCAGTGTGTAGACAGCTTTCAACAAAAAATGAACACATCGAAGGGTGTTTTTGGGGGGAAGGGGTCCAACTCCACAAGAGGTATTTTTCGGCGCGCAAGCTGTTCAAACCTGTAAAGTTTGACCTTTGCTGACAGCTGGATTACGAGATAAAGCTACATTTCACACTTTCCTTGATTGCGGTAAATAAACACATTGAGCCGATTGGCGTATTTTGTGTTGCGACCCGAGTTAATTAAGTTTTTCGGCGTTCAGCGGCCGAAAATGAACAGTCTTGACCTTCGTTGACTCGAAGGTTACGACGCTTATGCTCACATATTTCACCCGCATGCCCCATGCTTGTTTTCCTCCCACAAATCAACTACACCGCTTCAAATGGCATGTTGACTACCGTGTTGCAGGTGCGACATTCTAAGACCGTTTTAAGTTCGTCAGCATCTCAACACATCCCTAAAAGATAGTCGAATCCCCGGGTTAATTGCTTTAAGAACAGATCGTGGTTCGGCGCGCCATGGCTCGCTGTCCCGAGTGGCCCCAGACTGACGGCGGCCCAGCGGCGTGGCGGACATCCCCCTCTGGCAGCCTCTTTATTGGGTTAGCGGAGCCGCGAGTGGCGGCAGGCGGCGCCCTCCCCGCGTGTGGAGACGCCGCCCGCGTGGGAGACGCCGCCCGCGTGGGAGACGCCGCTCGCGTGCGGAGACGCCGCCCGCGTGTGGAAACGCCGCCCGCGTGCGGAGACGCCGCCCACGTACGGAGACGCCGCCGCGTGGGAGACGCCGCCCGCGTGGGAGACGCCGCTCGCGTGGCAGAGTACGCCGCGCCCGCCGTGGGAGACGCAGCCCCGTGGAGACGCCGCCCCGGCGTGGGAAGACGCCGCCCCTCGTGGGAGACGCCGCTCCCGCGTCGCGTAGACGGTGCCCGCCCGCGTGGGAGACGCCGCCCGCGTGCGGAGACGCCGCCCGCGTGGGAGGCGCCGCCCGCGTGGGAGACGCCGCTCGCGTGAGGAGACGCCGCCCGCGTGGGAACCCGCTGCCGCCGGCTACCAGGCATAGGTCAAGCGCCAAACGCACGCCTTCGCGAGGTAGATCGAATCCACGCTCTCAAAAATTCTTAATCGTGAGTTTATTTTAGACGTAGAACGGCGAGAAACCAGCACTGCATCAGCCTCCAAACTCCAGCGTAGGTTCGTCTCCATCAAAGAGATGGAAATGAGGATGGCCTTGTCCGCCGTCATGGCGGCTGGCTTCATCTCTGAACAGGAGATGACACCTTTCAGGCAGAAATCTGACGGCGTATGCACACAATGAAATGTGGCGCTTTCAACCCGGCAACAAGGACAATTTTCTCAATCGCTCAGATTTACCGCTTTAAGTAACTGTTTCTGTGCAATTTTTCCACCGGACTCTAAGCTTCTGCGCTATTTTTCTACGGGACTCCAGGTCTTTAAAGCTATTTTTCTATCAGACCCTAAGTCTTTGGCGCTATTTTTCTATCGGACTCTATATAAGCTTCTATTTATTCTATATCAGTTTCTATTTTTTATCGGACTCTACTATAAGTTTCTGCGCTATTTTTGTCGGATACTTGTTCACCACGGCCGTAAGCAAATGATCATTAACAATATTCGGTACCTGATGTCTATTACCTCAGTACCTGATACCAATTACAGGTCTTACCCATTCGGCATTTATATTTCTTAAAGAAAACGTCCGAATTTTAAACCTCATCTTGCGGACATGTTTGCACTTTGGTCGTACGAGGGGCTTTAAGGCCCCGCTAATATCTCGGAGACTGAGCAAACCAGAGCCAAGGAAAAAGGCAGAAAACCCTCGTGAAACCCAGCTGTGACCAAGCAATGGTAAATGTGGCCTTTGAAAGGTCAAATCAGGTAGCAGGGCAATCAACAGCAATCAACAGACCCGTTCTATTACCACAATAATTAGGCATGCGACGACAATGCGGTAACAGCGGTGAATAGCTCTTGACAAAGCTATCAGATGGGCAATAGTGGAAATCGACAGATGTGACACAGGTCAAAGTGCCTAAAGGAATGGTGGAGAGATCGGGGGGGGGGGGGGAGGCACGACCAGTGGGTCTCGTCACTGTCCCACGAGCGGGAAGCTGCTTCGGTGGGGCTCAGACTAGTCACTGTCCCACGAGCGGGAAGCTGCTTCACCGCCATCCATGCGGCCCTGCATTGACGCAACAAACGCTCTAGACGCGGGGATAACGGTGCGATCATTCTCGTCTTAATGAGCCATTCGAATTTAACATCCCTTGTTTCCATACTCATGCATTATTAACTCGCACAAGGGATTCTCGTAATGGCCGTCGCCGCATTCTCTCTCATAGCAACTTGGCCGGGCGCGCCTGAAAAATGACTGGGCGCGCAGTGGCGGCAGTCACAGTACAAAGCGGCCAAAGCGGGATTGCAGCCATGCAAAGCGGCCAAAGTGGGATTGCAGCTAGCGGACGCACACTCCGCGCGCGCCCCGCGCTGGTCCGCTTCGCTTTGTCCGGTGCTAGTTGGCATGCGCTCCGCACGTGTATGCAGATGAAGATGCCGGCGAGTCGTGACAAAGCGCTTCGCAGCCGGCTGGTATTTCTCCAGACGTGATTGCATATCGAAGCGAGGAGCTTGACTTTTTCAAACCTCTGAATGATTAATTTGAAAGACAACGGATCCAAACAAACAGGCGGTTACTTAGTAGAGCGGAAAGTGACGAGGGTGTCGAAGGGTGGCGGCGGCGACCATTCAGTCGCCACTGGACAGTTAAAAGCTGGCCCGGGCCACCGGTGGCGACGAGTAAACAGAACGACAGCGCAGGGCTGCGATCGCGGGCGTACCAGCAAGCAACAGCGCGTTCCAGAGTCCGCCAACTTCAGGCCTGGCAACGCTCAGTTGAAATTTTTCGCCGTTTGGCGACATTCAACTCCTTACTCCCGGGACGTATGAACATAGCGGTGATCTGGGAACGCTCCAGAATGACATCAGAAACTCGACATCACATCTCCCGACCGCCTGGTAAAACCACTCCTGTACACAATGGTCGTGCAATGATCTAATTTTCCCGCCGGCTGGGCCCGTAACTCGCGCCAAATTGGGGGCGTGACGGCCGCCGAGCGGCACCTCCGCTTCCGGCGCCGCGGGGCGCCGCCGCCGCGCCGCCGACAAACAACGCGCCCAGACAGCTTTTAATATCGGCGCGGCCGCTGACAGTGGGCCACGTTGTCGCGTTCTTTACGGCCCGACGAACGGCGTTCCCGCAAGCGCGCCATTGAAAATCGGACGTAATGGCTGCTCTATATCGAGTCCGGCTCTCGCACACGGCCGGGAGTCGTCGCTGAGACGGCCGAGGCCGCGCTGGTGCGTGCGGTGCGAGCGGGCGCGTCCGACGTCACCCCGCCCAGAGGACAGGCTGAAGGCACGTCCGGCGGTCAGGGAACGCTCCCCCAGCAGCGGCGGTCGCAGCGACAGAGACAGCGGACAGAGGAGGTGGTGGAGCCGGTGACAGAGCTAGCGGGCAGAGGAGGTGGTGGAGCCGGTGACGAAGACAGCGGGCAGAGGAGGCAGTGGAGGTAGCCCGGGAGGCAACGGATGTGTGGACGCAGCAGGCGCGGGTTGGGGCAGTAAAAATAGTTAGCGTACTAGGAACTTGCACTGGGCTCTCTTTGTTCCCGATTTCCGATGTTTAAGTGTTAGTGTGTGACTTTTATCAGCCCCAGGCTAGATCTCATTGCCCCTTAAACTAGTGCCAAGCCGAGCAGAAAGTAAAATCGGGACCTCGAAGTTTTACTCGAGAGCATACACGACAGCCAGATGAAGGTCTGCTCGGCGCCTGAAAACTTCCCTGATCCGCCAAGACGAAGCCTTACCAAGGGAACTGCAGCAGCGTTGCTAAGGCGTCGTATTTGCGCAGAACTTACCATTCAGGCTGGGTTATCTAATGTCGCAGCCTAGCTGTGGCTCGTGTCAGCCAGTATATCGGTCGTCAACATTTACAGACAGCCAGAGTGAGATTCTCCCAGGCCCAAAATAGAGACGCCTCTTGGCGCGGCAATAAAGTGCGATCATTTTGGCGGCGAAGGCCTGGGCCCGGGCGCAGACAGAAGGCTCGCTGGGGCAGCCGAAGTTTATTTTCTCGGCTTTACGGACTCCCCAGAGCATTGGTCGGGGTTTACGGATGGAGTGATGCTCCTCCACCCACGACGATTCGGCACGCGAGGATTACGACGGAGCAGAAAATGCCAAGTCCACGCATCAGTCGCGATTGAATTCCGTGATTCCGTCGCTACGAGACCAAAGGCCACCGCTCTGTTTTCCGATAACGGCAGGAAAACAGGACGATACATTCAGGCTGCCACAGCCCTCGCGCTTAGTGTTGCCGGAGCCCTTCTGGAGTCGTCCGAGAACTTCGAATATTTTTTAGGTCTAAAAAACGTCATTCTTCATGCAAAGTTTTCCGGAGCTGTCTCTGCTTGAAGCCTGCCGTATTCAGACTGGCACCCTCTGTGGAGCTTCGAAAGCAGGGCCTGTTCCGGCCCGATGACGCTGATGGGTGCCGTCGCTCTTCAAATGCGGTTAACGCAGCGGCATGCCACGAAAACTCCACCGTCGTGCTGCGCTGGCGGCAGGGCCGTGCCCCGCCCCCGCCCCTGCCCCTGCCCAAGCCCCCGCCCCTGCCCCTGCCCCCGCCCCTGCCCCTGCCCCGCTGCGCCGATGCGCCCACTGACCTGGCCTGCTGGGCGCCGCTGTTGCCGGTGTGACCTGCGCCGGGGTCATGACACAGGTCCAGCAGCATGTGGTCCAGGTCGCGGGCCAGAGAGTTCAGCAGCTGCGAAACATAGGCACCGCAGTCACCACCACCGCCAAGCGCGTCCTGCAGCGGAGCGAGCCATCCCGAGTCGGTCACAACAACGCAGTCCTCACAAGGGCACGCGGCTCTGAGTCGGGGTTCCACATGCGGTCTGCAGAGTGGTGCTCGGGTCTGAGGCGGGGCCCAGTCTACAGCCTTTTGCATAATAATTGTTTATCCGGTCCGCCCGCCACTGGCCCATTACCCGATTAATGCCAGGCTTACACACCCTTCGCGTCGGCGGCGCGCTAAAATGGTGCGTGCGCGACAATGCGTCTGGGCCCAAAACAGGGCTTGCAGAGTGCCGAGCGGGCCCAAAACACGGTCACCACGCGCGCCGCTCTGCAGCCGCCGTTCGTGACGGCACGCAATGTCGACCAGTGACCACTCGACCGGCACGATCACAGCGCAAGAGCACGCAACTGCGTGCCATTCATCCTCGTCCCAGCCTCCTCCGTGTTGCTGACATCGCTCTGCAGATATCTGATGAGCAGCACTCAGCAGCGCGGCATGTCTGGATGACGGCATGGGCCCGGGCTGCATCAGGCTTCAGATCGCCAGCATGAGCATGAGAGTGGGAGAGAAAGCCGGGCTCATTTTCATCACCTGCGTTTCGACGTTTGGGAAAACGTTTTGTCTGGGGTTCGCCATGCATATGCATACGGCCACCGGCGGAACCACCATACGGGTGTGTATGGTCCAAATACCGAAAAGTTGAGGGCAAATTGGACTACTTCGTATTTTTACCATGTGAATACCGTTAACACCATACCATAAATATTAAATGCCACCAGAACAGTAATCGGCTGCAATGAGACGCACGATTTCCTTACGTCCATGCCGGAGTGTCAATAGTACATTGATTAAGTTGCGCATGTAGGAAATCAGAGGTACAGGGCTTCGATTCCCCACCGTGCCTACCGTTCCTGGCAGGGCGAAAGGCAGCGACGCCATATAGCCTCGGCAGCTGAGTGCGTCGGAAAGCTCCAGTGAAGGTGTCACGTTCACGCATGCGTTCGGGACCATAAAAACAAACAGTAAGGCTAGATAAGCAAAGACCATCCATAGGTACATTACGATAGTGAACTATGCACATTTTAGAAAACCCTTGTCCCAAAGCATACTTTGTGTTATGACCTGATATGTAATTGACAGCGCGGGAAGAGAAGTATTGTCACGGGAAAGTACCAGGATGCACCACATTTCTGACAGTCACACAGCTCTTCGTCAAGATAGTAACGAGCAAGAGCAATTTGACGAATTCGTCGGCTCTGATAGACCAGACTACGCCCATTTCATGGTATCACACACAATGAAATCGGACGAAAATCAGATCAATCGGTCAATCAATCATGCGATGACATCGATAAGACTGGGCCAGACATTCAGATCTGGCCAACTGTAGATTTCACGACACATCAGTGAATTCCCTTGATTGACGATTGGTACCCGCGGACCGGAGATCGGAGACCGGCATGTGTGTGCACGGAGACCGTGCACATGCGGGTCTCATCTGGTACGACCATTGGACGCTACGATCTCGATCCATGGTTTAGACCAGCTTATGGGCGTCGGAACGAAGAGGGGGAAGGCCCGTGCGTGTCACGACACCCCGCTTTCCGAGGATGCTGCACAGTTAGACCGTGGCGGCACATGGAAAGAATCGACTTTAAAACTTGTTTTGATATTCACACTTCAGGAGGCGTCCTTCACCTGAGCGATCGACAAGCTCATGTGGATGACACACACCTGGGAATGATACGGAAAGAGCAGGCAGGCGCCAGGGAGAAAGGGAGTGGAAATGAGAATTGTGAACGGTCAGAGGTGAAAGGTGAAGATGAATGGAGATAGAGGGGTGAAAGGTGAAGATAATGACGCCAGCACGAGCTAGAGCGGGAAGGAAATAGAGGAGAGAGAGACATAAACAGAGGGCGAGGGGTAGAAGACGCAGGGAAGAGAGAGAGAGAGAGAGAGAGAGAGAGAGAGAGAGAGAGGAGAGAGAGAGAGAGAGAGAAGAGAGAGATAGAGAGAGAGAGAGAAGAGAGAGAGAGAGCGAGAGAGAGAGGAGAGAGAAGAGAAGAAGAGAGAGAGAGAGAGAGAGAGAGAGAGAGAGAGAGAGAAGAGAGAGAGAGAGAGAGAGGGAGAGATAGGTGGGGGGTGACGCAACAAAGCAACTGCCTGCACGGTCGGTAATACAATCACTCTCCGGCTGTGGGGTCGGGAGCGGAGCGAGGCGAGCATAGCGTGCCTCTGATCATATGCCTTTCCCCCCCTGTCCCCGCGAGACCTCACCGCGGACCAGCTCGGTCCGAACAAGCCCTGCACGCATGTCCGACGTGCCGGGCCAGCCACTTACTGGCGCACGGAAGCCATGTCGGCGCCTGATTGAGCTCGTCGTGGTCGCACGGAAGCCAATAGGGGTGGGGCGTGGGCCCAGCTAGTCTCGGACGCTGGCTGGGCCGACGACAGCGTCGCGCAGGCCGCCGGCCGGGCGGCGGATCTCGGCCAAGGCGCGCGCGGCCCGCACTGGCAGGGCGGCCGTGATAGCGTGCGCCGCCTGGCCGGCCGCTCAAGCTCTAGACCACCGACCAGACCAGACCACAGGACTGCCGCCAGCACGCAGACCAGACCAGCGCCGTTGTCACGACGTCATCCCAGCAATGCCGGCACCTCGGGTCCGGCCGCGGCGCGATCTATTTCCGCGCCCCGCGGCGCGCCGTCCCTGTCGCGCGCGCACGGTTGGCCCGCCGGCAAACCGCGGCCGCAAAAAGCGACGGCGGTGGCGATGGGGCACGCCACCGACGCAAGGCCGGCCCGCTGTCGTGCGGCCGGCGAGGGGTGAGGTACGGCCGCCGCCGCAGACGCCGCACAGGAGCGTCATCGGGGATGCGTCGCGTCAGGCCGTGTTGGGGTGGCCGCGTCGCGTCAGACCGTGTTGGGGTGGCCACGTCGCGTCAGACCGTGTTGGGGTGGCCGCGTCGCGTCAGACCGTGTTGGGGTGGCCGCGTCGCGTCAGGCCGTGTTGGGGTGGCCGCGTCGCGTCAGGCCGAGTTGGGGTGGCCGCGTCGCGTCAGACCGTGTTGGGGTGGCCGCGTCGCGTCAGGCCGTGTTGGGGTGGCCGCGTCGCGTCAGGCCGAGTTGGGGTAGCCGCGTCGCGTCACGCCGTGTTGGTGGCCGCGTCACGTCGGACCGTGTTGGGTGGCCGCGTCGCGTCCATGCCGTGTTGGGGTGGCCGGTCACGTCGGACGTGTTGGGGTGGCCGCGTCGCGTCAGGCGAGTTTGGGGTGGCCGCGTCGCGTCAGGCCGTGTTGGGGTGGCCGCGTCGCGTCAGGCCGAGTTGGGGTAGCCGCGTCGCGTCAGACCGTATTGGAGTGGCTGCGTCGCGTCACTGCCGTGTTGGGGTAGCCGCGCCAGTTTTCCAGCCTGACCGACTCGACGCCGCTTCGTTTGCCATTGTGACCCCGACTGTGCTCGCATGACATCAGCTTATTTGGAGACAATCCAGCGAGGTCGCTGACAACAGACGGACAACAGACGCGGCCCCGCCCGCACCGCTCGTGGGTAATGTCACCCTGCAGGGCCGCGCCGCGAGGTGACGCTACCGGCTTAGAATTTGAACATTATGAGATGCGGTGATCACACGAATCAGCACACATACAAAGGCTTCAGTTACCGGCTGGCTGTCATAGCAAGCGCTGACCGACTAGACAGTGACGGAATACAAAGCAAGCGAGCAAATAGCGCCGGCAGCCACCCACGGCTCCGCCGACCACCAGCAGCGATCATGACGAAGACAGACCCACTGTAAGGCCGGGCGGCAGTTCGAGAGGCTGCTGGGCGCTCACGCCGAGATGCTGAGACCACAGACGAGGCTGACGCGAAAGAACCGGTAACTGAACTAGTCGCCTTGGGGCGTCATCGAACTCGAGAGGAAGCCCCGACAGCACTCGTGAAAAAGTCTACTTCATGTGATCGAAAGGGAAGCTTCTCTGCAGCCAGCAGGCACCGAGATGTGTGCGGCGCTGGGCATCAGTGCGAACGGCCCAGTCCCTGTCGCGGGTCACAGGTCAGTATCGTTGACTGACTCCACGGTCGGCCTGGTCCCTGTCGCGGGTCGTAGGTCAGTGTCGATGGCTGACTCCGAGGTCGGCCTGGTCCCTGCCGCGGGTCACAGGTCAGTGCCGCTGGCTGACTTTGCGGTCGGGTCCGTAGCTATACCCTGTAGGCGTCACCGCTCGCCTCTGAGCTGCCGGTCCGGCGGGCGGACAGCGTACAGCGGCTCCAGACAGCCGCGCCGATCTCCAGACAGCCCGCCGGTCTCCAGACAGACGCGCCGATATCCAGACAAAAACGTCGGTCTTCAGACAGACGCGCCGATCTCCAGACAGCCGCGCCGGTCTCCAGACAGCCGCGCTGGTCTCCAGACAGATGGGCCGATCTCCAGACGGCCACACCGATCTCCACGCAGCCGACAGCGTCTGGGACCGAAATCTCCGCACTCAAGGCTAGGCGCGCCCTTCATCGTTAAGGAGACAACGTGATACGACCCAATAATTTCCCCAGCGGGGAGACAAAGGCCGACAAGCTGCCCGGCCGGGAGACAAAGGCCGACAAGCTGCCCAGCCGGGAGACGGCGGGAGCCGGGCCCATATCCCCACAGCCGCCGTCGTCCTCAGCATGCGGCCTGCCCGTCCTTCGCCCGACACGGCCCAGATCCGTCCGACGATGGAAACACATCACTCTGCCCGGTCTTAACTCCGCCACTGAACGTACGACCTGCAGCGGCACGCGCGGCCCCGCCACCGGCAGAGCGTCAGGAGGTCCGGCTCCTCGGCCGACCCGGGCTCAGCTGACAGCCCTCTGGCTCAGCGATGGCTCCACGGGCCAGACGGTAAATCTCGCCCGATGGCTTCCTGTCCGTCGGCGATATTGAAATGGCGGTAAAGCGTCAATTTGTTCGGGACTTACTCGCTGGCAGA